TCTTACGATGGCGACGTTGAAATTCTTGGCTGTCGACTTTGAGCGCGTCGGACGGGCGCGAGAGCGCGCTCGCAATATTGCGTCGCGCTTTCGCAATTCTCCCTTGGAAGAACGCGAAGCAGAGAGAGAGAGAGAGAGAGAGAGAGAGAGAGAGAGAGAGAGAGAGAGAGAGAACTCGGGTCTACCAATAAAATAGTAAATAAAGCAGCTGTCAGTACGCTTCGCGGAGAAAGCAATTGCGTCGGTGCACTTTTGGTATACGCAGGAGGCGCGGACCTTACCACCGCGGGACGCGCGACAATATCTGCACGACGGGAGGGCGAGAGAAAGAAGTTCGTAATTACCGCAACTCTCGTCTTCAAAGAAGAAAAGAGAAAGGAAGAAAAAGTAAAGAAAGAGAGAAAGAAAAAACAGCGGGAAAGCGACAGACCGCGTCCGCGAGTGGCGTGAAGCAGCGCGCGCGGTCAATCTTCATTTCGCCTCGAGGAACCTCGAGAGAGAGAGAGAGAGAGAGAGAGCTCGGTCGCGCCTCCGTTCGAGAGCAATTATTTATCGCGGCGAACATCCCCCCCTCTCACCCTTTCCCGCGACCATCCGGATTTCTGCACTGGAGATTTCGTGAATTTTCTGCCACGCCGGCGCTCCACCGTCTGGGTGTCCGCGCGGTGAATTTCCGTTCGACTCCGCGCGAACGTCGCGCGGCAACATCGCCTCGGAATTCATTTCGAGGACGCCTTATTTCCTCTCTTCTTCGGCACGGATCGAAGGATCGAGACGCGGGGCGAAACGCCGCTGCGGATGAATTTTACATATTCCAGATTTTCCGCGCGATTACCCGTCGACGACTACTACGACGACGACGACGACGACGACGACGTCGGAAGAATTCGTTCTCTCTACGCGTAATTACCCGTCGGCTGGCGCGACGCCACGTTAACGCGGACGGCCGCGTAATTCCATCCTGGAAAAATATTAATGTCGCAAGAAAAGCGCTAATTTATCATATCGCCCTGATGGCCGCTTCGGGAGTGACAGCAGCGACGCGAAAAACAAGAATCTCCCGGAGGAATGAATTATAAAAAAATGCGTAATATTATCATGACGCGCTCGCGCGCAACGACAATATCTCGGATATACACAGAGCACTGTGCGCGGAGCAGCACACCGAGTATATACGTGATAAATTGCAGGATCATATTCAGACACGATCAATTCCCTCGTTGTTTTTATTAAAATGAGAGAGCAGCCGAATCCAAATGCGTTATTTTTAAGCGCGCAAGCGTCTAATTAGGCCGAGGCGCTCTTTTCACACGTTTCTTGCCGTTTCAAATCACGTCATTTCACGTGTTCAAGCAGCGTGCAAAATAGAATTCAACACATTCAACACCTGGACTTGCAGCGAAAGGATGTTCGCGCATTCCTTCCATTGGCACGAATTATTTATACAGAAACTGATTAGTATCCGTCCAAAATTCGTATATTCAAATTCATATACAATCGTTGTTTCATGTTTAAAGACATCTTATTCACACTCTAATATTTTGCGCTTTCCATTCATGAAAATTACTTTTGAACAATAAGAACATGTTTTCTTTCTTAAATCACGTACGAAATGCATCGATGCAAGTAATTTATTTTCATTTGGTGCTCTGCAATCTCATTTTTAGACGTATATGTCGAAGACAAAGATATTTTTGAAACGAGAATGTTCCTCTCCTTCTGTGTACGAAAATAATTTCAACAGCTTAACCCTCTCTCAGTTACATTCGACAGTTGAAAAACATGGAATAATTAATTATATCGCGAAGGAGCCAAAGCTCCGAAGTCACAAATCTCATAAAGTCGACAAACATCGGCGCGCAATCAAAGCCGAGGAGCGTGCGCGCGCGTAGAGCGAACGGAAATAGAAAATTGCAATCGTCGGGTCATAATTGAGAGTCGTTCGGGAGCTTTGATCAAACGATCCCGTTAGTTGCCTCGTCAAGAGCAAACGGCCGTCGGGTCTAGGGACGATAGTTAATGAGAGCCGTACAAAGGTTTCCCCGAAAACCGCAACATGTGGGATTTACTGCCGCTCGCCAATGTACACGAGAGATTTTACGAGCACGCGTCGATGCGTTTCCGGCCGGTAAATAAGTAAACAGATAAACTTCCTGCCGCGTTCTTCGCAGACGCGTGCGCGCGGAATAATTTACGATTTATTACGTCACGTTGGGAATAAACCGGTATCGAATATTAATATTCACGCCATCGCGTTTCACCAAGTTTCGTCTCGCGTAAACTCGGGTGAATCTGTACGACGAGGTCGAATAATTAACTTCGGCAAACGCGATAATAGCTGCTTTTTTCTTTCCCTTCCTTTCCCCTCTCTCCCCCTCTCTTTCTCTCATTCTTTTGCTTCTTTTCCGCTCTCTTTCAATCTTAACAATGATTATCAGTTTTGTCATTGAAATCCCCACTCGTTACTCGTCGCACGAGCGTTTACAATTACCTCATTTGGCCTTACGTAACGTATTGTTATTTTTAATTAACGGGGGGCATTAATTAGTACTTCGTTATGCGTGACACGCAATTGCTCGTTCGCGATAATGCTCTTTACGGGATGTTGCGTCACACAAGCCAGCATGATGGGTGAAACAATTTGCGATAATTTTTCATATTTCTTTCAGTGACAGAAAAGAATGTGATCTGGGCATCAATCATAAATCTTTTCACGTGAACTCGATCGTACTTATCAATCATGTGTAATATAAAATGTGTAGTATAAAATTATATGAAGCGAATAATTTTGTACAATACTGGGCGACAATTGTGAATCTTTTCCTCCAATGTAAACCCGTGAAATGTGAACATCTCCATATATCTTCAAAGTTAGGTTTTTTACTTTTCACATATTCACACTAGGGGAAAGATTCGTGATCGATTCCCTGCACGAGTTTATCGTCAAGTTCGAACTGCGTCCATGTCCGGGCACGCAGACCTGTCAACGCGAGTAAACGACCTGTCATATTGACCAATGTGTTGATGCAACACCAAGAGGAAGCTGTTAACAACGCCGCGTCCGACCAAGAACTCGTTCCACTACTGACGACTGAAGTCGCGCGCGCATGGCTGAACAGAGGAGACTGCCTTACTATTTACGCGCGGCGAATCTCCAACGTAGTACCGATATACGCGTGTATCTCTCTCGGGGGGGCTTCTTAAATATCTCTTTCATATCCCGTCTCCGAGCTTCCGATCGACTGAACTGCGCAATAATCCCTTCTACGCCGAGTCGTTATATTCCGCGTAACGACGCCAGTGTGCTTATAAAACAAGCGGCCAGACGTTAACGAGTGCATGCTATTCGCCTTCCGACCGGTCGTATCGATCAGAGAAGTCGCCGATAAAATCGCAATGTACAAATACATGCGACTGGGGCACTGTGTCTTCGCGAACGGCGACTAAATCGACATTCGAGTGTATCCATAGGATGGCGGTATCGGTGTTCGAAAGAGACGAAATGATTGGAAGCTCGAGTCGCATAAATTCAAGCAGGCGTTCGCGGCAAGCAAATCGCGAGTAACCCGAAAGAGATCGAAATGCTTTATAACGTCATAAACAAAGCCTCCTTCGCGATTTCACGATTTTCCCCGGCCGCGTTGGACGGGCTTTTTACACTCCCTCGACGTCGTAAATCTTCGCTTTCGCATTAACGGCTACGTGAAAGCACTGTGAAGAGCTCTCGCACGAGCGGACAGATGGCTCGAATTCGCCCCAGACGTTCCCGCTGTTTATATCGTCTTGCGTTTCTCCTCGGCATGTCCGATAATTTTATAAGATAATTCCTCTCTCCCTGCAATATCCGCTTGCTCGCGGGGAAAATGCGTCCTCGCTGTGCACGCATTTTCGACGTCGTTGAAGTGACGATAAATGCGCGGAGAGACGCGATCGGAATGCGATCCCGGCTGAAGCGACTCCAAAAATTTTATAACCGTGTAATTGGGTAAGATATCAAAGTAATCAACGTGTCAAATAAAATTTGGCAAAAGAGACATTTATTGATAAAGAGACACTTAAGGGGATGCTGAAAACTTTACCGACAGAACGCTGATATTTTTCTGCAAAGTCGTATTGGTTACACAGAATTACAAATGCTTTTACGCAATGAAAGTACGTGCAAAAATAAATAGGAACTGCGTCTTTATTGCTCGATATGTGATGAAAACAAACAAAAAATTTTTAATGTAATCTCAAGCTGTCAGTGTAATATTTGCCTAACCCAAAAGTTCCGCAGCTTGTACATACGCAAGTGTGGATGCTCCAAACAGAAAAATTTTGAAGAACATTGCTCTACCTTCGCATCTGCATTTGGAAGCTTAAGAATATCGAAAAAATTTGCCAAAAAATTTCTACACATATATGGTTTTCTATTGAATATGGTAAAACAAAGCAACACACATTCATGTAAGTTCTGTATATACAAGAAATACGAAAAGGATAGCATGATTATGTTACGATCGTCTCTGCATTATCGACATTGTTCGAGTTTATCATCGACTCCAGCATCCCCTTAATGTCAATAGTGACAAAAGCAAAAGAAGAATTTAGTGCCAACCCCGTAATAATTTCATGATAATCGCGCAATATGCGATCGTTGCAACGTTTTTGCGACACGACTTCACGTGATTAACGAAATTATTATATTTATCGTGTCAGATCGTATCGTGGCAGCGCGTTTATCTTGTACCGTGGTTATCGTTCTTGACAGAGCTGAAACCTTCACCGAGATTGGACTCGTCGAACGTCGTCGCCGTTCTGAGATTTACGGCGACAAGCTTAAATGTTGGTTACGTGCGCGCATAAATACGTGCTTTCAGCGTAATGACCCGGTGCAATCACAAGAAGGCGAGGCGACACGAGACTCCTTTATTGGACGATCCGACCTTAGAGCCGCCGCACACGCGAATTGCGTCCACCAGCGCGCGTGTCCGCGAATATTTCGACATTAATCAGCTTACCTTCAAGGGCGGCCTCGTCGGGTCTTTCCGCAGCTCGCCGAAACGCGCCTCAAAACTGTCGTCCCAATATTCCCGGCTTCGCATCCACGACGGCTGCAACAGAAGTAAACAACCGTGAGAAATTTCGCGGCTCAGCCAGGATATTGCCTCTTATGGTTAATAAAACGAAAACGCCGTCAAAGACATAAATTTCGCGTATCCTGACGGTATCGTCGAGGATAAGGTAATAACGTACGTAGAACATCACGTGCATTATTATCGCTATTGTTCAACGAAGTCGCGAAAATGCCGGCGCCGTGGTGCGCGACAAAATCAATTAGTGTCTCCTTTTACACGATTTAACCTAACTCAAAAAATGTAATTTTATCCTCAGCCGAATCCTCTCATGTGTGTGTGATTTCAAGAGGATTCTTCTAAAAGGAAGATATTCAAAGTAGAATATTTTTTAAATTAGAGAAATTTTGTCTTTTATCTATCGTACTATAGAACTATTCTGCAAATTTTTAACGATAATATTGCAGTTTTTCTACCGTATATCATATCTGTACAACGACAATATAACGATAACGACACTGCCGTTAAAAGTTACACAGAATTGACTACTTACTGGTCTTGTTCTAACCAGTGAAAGAGTATTCTACTTCAAAACATATTTTTCTTAATTCAAAAAGAAAGATAGAAGAAAAGAAAGAAGAAAGGAAGAAAAAAAAGAAAAAAGAAAAGTTTGATGATCTAATAGATTTCCGATTAATAGCTCACTTCATTAGAAGAGGAATAGTGTCGCGAGAGAGACATTGCCTCAGTCGAGAGTCGAATCTGGACGTTCAATCCGTCAGGTGTAATTAGTCGCGCTTTATGTATTGCGTAAATGAGTGATGCGCGGCGAAATAATGGCGCCGGTGAGCGCTGCGCGGCAGAGTGAACGTTCGTTTTCGTTCGGGACAAACATCGCGTGAAATAATCGCGCATTGCGACAAACTGCGTGAACGCTTCGTGATCGATCTCTCATCACTCACGTCTCGTCGGGCTGCGCGACAATTAAATGTACCGCGCGGAAGTCCATTCACGGTCCGCTCCTACTCCCGTGACCTCGCGTGCGTCGTTTCTTCTTTTCGCCTCGTGTTAATAACGGCTTTATCGTGGTAATAGTTTTGACGCGATACCTCGCCGATAAGGTAAACGCGAAACCACGATGACGTCGACGTTGACTCTACACGAAAGCCCTGCTCGCCGCTGCCCTCCATCGAGATCCTTCCGGCGATCTTTGCGACAAGCGTGGCTTTAGATAGCGCGCGACTTCAGCAACGCGCGCCGCCACCCTCGTTCATCCACTGTTTGACAAATGCACGAGCCACACGTCCCTTCATGTATCGTCAAGAGACGCCTCTCAAACGTAAACACTGAAAGATGAATCAAAAGAAACGACGGCCGCCTCCTCAACGACGCGAGCGAGAGCTCGCTTTTACTACATTTTTACCGCGCGTTGAGAATACCAGTTGAGTCTCTCTTCGAGGAGATAATTCCGTGCCGAGTTAATTTCAGATCGGGATTAATCGTAGACAAGATATCGAGAGTTCTAAATACAGAGCGGCCGCTTGGAAAACGCAAAATTTACGCGGAGAATCCGTAAAGTGGAGCCGGGTGAGAATGGCGAGAGAGTAGAGAGAGAGACAGAGAAGATAGAAAGAGACGGAGAAGAGAGAGAGAGAGAGAGAGAGAGAGAGAGGGGGGGGAAAAGGGAGAGAGATTCGGTGGCTTCTGGGACGCCCTGTACGAGCCGCGCTGAATACCGTCGAGCATCTGCGAGAGGCGAGCGGGCTTCGAGGATGGGAAGTAATGAAGTAGAGCGAAATTGGAATTCGCGAGGAATCCGATTCGCCCGGTTCTAAACATGGATTACGCAAGTCCGAACGCGCCGCTGCCCATTGGTGCAGCCACCACGAAATTCGAAGATTCTCGTTTCGGCGCGCCTCGAAACCCCAGAAAATCCCGAGCGGCCCGGCGGCAAGCGATATAATTTCAATCGCCCGTTAAATTTCGATGCCGTCGTCCACCTTCATACCTGCCAATCAAGATAATGTTTTACCGGTCGAAATGCTATTTCCGAGCGCACACGAGCGAGAACGAACGTATGAACAGGTAGACAGACAGACGAACGAACGGACGGACGGACGGACGGACGGATGGACGCGCGCACGCACGCACGCACGCACGCACGCACGCACGCATGCACATACGCGAGCGAGCTCAACAGCAGAATTGGGTGTTACGGCGCTGATAATTAATCACTCGCGTGTCTCCCCGTGGCGCGGCTACGTAACGTCGCGAAATACGGATTTCATATAAATTGAGGCTGTTGCAAATTGAATATCGCGAATTACATAATCGCCGGCGGTGTGAATGTTACAAATGAAGATCGGTGGCAGCTTGCGCTCTGGGGATACGCGTGCCTCAGTGCGGATTATGCGATATGACAAATAAAATCTGCGTGTACTTTCCAATTTCACGGGGATAATGCGCGACGAAGCATTCCTATTTCCGTGGGAAGAATAATTGTCTGATTTAATATAGATCAGAGCGTTGGTCTCAATTAATTGGGATCAGATCAAAGTGTCGATTTGAGTGAGACGCGATAAATAATGTTTCTTTCTTTTCATTTTCGTATGGGGAAAGTAATTATCTAATATAGATTGAAACGTAATATAGATTGATAATATCTATACAGATTGAAACGTTGGTTCCTTGCAATCGGAAAGTCATTATAGAGGTGTCATATTTTTTATCAATCTACCTATTAACACATACGAAAAAGATCTAGTTCAAAGATTGTTAAAAATCGTCCAAACACCATTCGGACTACAAGGATTAGTTAATTAATTCGATTAATTAATTAATTCGGTTAATAAATTAATTTATTTTCGTGAGAAGAATAATTGCCTAATTAGATATAGATTAGAATGTTAGTCTCTTAATTAATTGATATGTTTAAATCAAAGTGTTGACTCGAGTAAGATGAGATAAAGAATTTTTTTTATTTTTATGGGAAGAATAATTGCATAATTGAATTGGAATTGAACTATTGTTCCCTTAATATTAATTGAGATGTTTAAATCAAAGTGTTGATTAAGAGGAGATAAAGAATTTTTTAAATTTTTGTAAGAAGAATAATTGCTTGAAAAAATTGTTTGGAACAAAAAAGCAGAGTACGAATTTTTTAGAGACCCCGATAACATCATGAATATTAGCATTGCGTGAACACGCAGATAATGTGTCGGCCATATAATTGCGATCTTCTAAATTCGCGACTATCGGCGGCGCTAATCGGATTATTACAGATTTTTGGGCGACGCTTCTCTCGGCTCTACCAAGAATTTATGTTACGACGGCGCGCAAACAATTACCATGATGCGAGGAAAGGCAGGGCCGAGCTGGCCGGCGCAGGCGGACGGTACCGCTTTAATTTCTATCAACAGCAAGCCGAGCGAATTAATCACCATAAATCCAGGATCGACGCGGAGATAAAGCCGAGTCAAAATTAAATCCCGACTGAAGAGCTCGTCCATCGAGCCCAACGGACTCCCATCGAGATATATTCCCTGGAAAGGTCTTCTACGGAGCTTTCTCTCTCTCTCCCTCCCTCCCTCTCTCTTTCTTTCTCTATCTCTTTCCCTCTCCGATTATCCGACGATCGGTCGAGCTTTCTTGTAACGGAGCTTATCCGGTCGACGTTAATTAAACATCGAAAAGCTTCGCTCCCTAATCCATCGACGGAGGAGGTAGTTTCTTTCACCCGGGATTATTTCGGGAGGGGTGAAAGTAACCTCGAATCTCTCCTCTCTCTCCCTCTCTCTCTGTCTCTCGATCCGTCCTCTCTCCTGCCTTCCCTTCGCGCTCCCGTCAGATCGATCTCGCTCGTCCGCTCGCTCTTACGGTATCGACCGGAAATCTGGGAAGGCTCTTACGGCGAATTAAACCCTCGGCGGATTCCACACCGTTGCAAGCGCTAAGTAATTATTTGCGACGTGTATACTTTTCCTTTTAGCAAGTTCGATCGATATTTATGGCGCCGACTGGACAAGCGGACTCGGGTTACCGTCAATTACCGTCGATCGAATATTTGCTGCGTTCCCGCGCGTGGGAAATCTCGTCAGTCTCCTAATCGCGGAGCGACGATTGATTTCACGTGTCTTTCGCGACGTCTCAATCTCGTGTCGCGGTCACTCGGAAGACAGCGGCGATTTTAGGATTTCGCCGTGATGGTCTCGTCGTCGTCGCCGTCGACGCTGACGTTTACGGACGACGCCTGCCCTAAAAGCGAATTGCCGCGAAGAACCGCCGTCGGTCGATCGCGTCGGGCGCGTTCTTTTGCTCCGATCTTTGCACTAACTATCCCATCTGTCCGGCTCTCCGTTCCGCTACACGGCGAGCGAATGAAGATGAAGCGTTTTACGGAGTATCCCGGAGAAGGAGAGAGGATATTTCCTCGGAGGATAGCGATCTTAGGAAGATGCCGAGGATGAGAACGGACGGGTCTTAAAGGGATATCGAAGCAACGCTATCTTATCGACACGAGTCCCGCAGGGGACCGCGGGCAACTGCGTACGATTTTACAAAGGGTGCTTTAACCGTTTCAGCGCGAAGTGTGATGGCAGTGAAGAAGAGGACAGCTCGTTACGGATTTGTCACGTCGATTGATTCTTTCTCACGAGCCCTTTGAATCGCTCTTCCCGACGACCACGACACGTCGCCGGTCTGTGTTCTCTCTCAGCTGAGAATGTGAAAAAATCCCCCGCGATTTCGCGGGATCTCTTTTAATCGCGAAACACGCGAGCGCGTCATTACTTCCCTGCCCCCTCCCCTTCCGCGAAGTGAAACATTTCGTCACATTTTGTCCGGGAGTGGCTTATTAAAACAGGAAAGAAAATTGGGGATTAACGCGAGTATCATTATTGCGAGTGTATTTCCGCGAGGAACATTATTCCGCAGTCCGTTGGTAGTTCGGCGCCCGGGAGCTCGAGTTTCATTAGTTTCCATCTACATTAGAGCCCGCTAATGTGCGCGCGGACGTGTACAGTGTGGCGCCGAAGTTAACG